CTATACTATGCATGAACGATTGAGTAATTAAGCTCCCTATACCAGCTGAAGCTTAAGCTGAAACATTTTCCATATTTTATGCAACATGGATCTCTCTTCTGCTCCCATTGAAGAGGCGAACACGAATCGGAACATATTACGCATTTAATGTGCGCGCGTACTTTGTAAGAACTTCGTTCTATACATGTTTATATGTTTGTGGGCTTGGGTGGGTGGGTTTCTGTGTTTGTGTATTTGTGTGTTTGTGTGCTGGAAACTTTGGGGAGCAGGAGCAAAACGCATTACATGGCGCTGGCATGGCAGGCGGAACGAGCTGTGTGTGAGCCGGAAACGAGCTGCAAAACTTTCACCTCAGGACATTCGCTGCTGTTTGTGTAGCTGCTGAGCCGAGGGCATGGGGGAAAATATGAAAATTCAAAAAGGAAACTGTTTAAAAAATGTGAAAAATATGCACGCACACAGAAACAGATACGGGCACAGGCACGGGCACAGGCACGATGACGGGCAGAACAGATGGACCAGGACACAAGCTGCACTTGAACATGGCCGAGTGGTGTCTTTGGCCGTTGCCCTCTGGCCCCTGGGAGGCCGTTGTGTGTCACACAAAAGGTCGCGCAAAGATCAAAATGATTTTCAATTTAACGCGTTTACGTGCGGCTATTTGTCTGTTTTTGCATCCGCAGCCAGCCGACGCCATTTCGAGCATTTTAAATGGAAATTACGTTTTTCGCATGCTGAAGAGCATTGGCAACGAAACAAAAAAAAAAAACAAAAAAGAAGCACTGATGCTACAGAAAAGCCAGCGGGTTGGGGATGGGGCAGGGAGCGTGGAGCGGGGAGGCAACACTAGACAGACGAGCCATTTACTGCGACACGAGGCAATTAATTTACAATTACACGCACACACGCACAGAAATCACTAAAACAGCAGCGAGACGCGCCCGAAGGAAGGTGAATGCCGCGCCCTGAAAGTATGCAATGGAAAATTTAAAACCTGAAAACTCATTTCTCTCGACAGTCGCGCTTTCGGCTTTAAATTGAAAGGCGTTCGGGCAAATACTTTCAATATTTACGCATAATTTAAGTGAAAGTTGCCAACAAACAACAAACACAAACGCACACACCCACACACACACACACACACATGAACATATTTGTGTGCATACTTTGAAAATTTAATTTAACCCAAGGCGCTCACTCGCACAAATATTGATACATTCTAATGGATTTCTCACACACACACACACACCCGCACACAAACTGGTAGGAACCTTTTAAGAGGCATCCGCATTCACATTCGCATTCGAGGCACTTTTAGTTGGGCAGCTGCTGTAGGGCCAACAAAGCCAGCATTTGGCCAATTCTCTGACCGCTCCGCTGACTGCCTTTCTATCTTTTATTTATGTTATTTATCGTTTATTCTGCTGTTAGCTGCAGATGCCAGCAGCTTAAAGCCTTTAAGCCATTGCTGTTACAGCAACAGCATTGCTTCAGTATTTCCGTTGTTCTTCTTTTTTTCGACGCACTGACAGCCGCTGATTTGTCGCTGGCATTTGTTTATCTGACTGACAGACTGACACACTGACAAGACCAGACAATTGCTGGCAATCGCCGCATGTAATCCCTTTAATATGCCTTTCATTATCGCCACCACACGACGCACAGCATAAGTTAAATGCCCGACCATTTAAAGCGTCTTTAATTGCGCCACAACTGAACGACTAATCGGCAACAAAGAGCGGAGACGCGGAAACGGAAATTTAACAAAGCCAGTAAACAATGAAAAGAAAAACGCAAAGAACCACACTGGCAACAAAGCCGGGCCCCAGAGTGCTGCAAGGCAGAGCAGGAAAGGCAACTGGAGCGCCACTTGGGCGCACCTTTGCCAATGCAGATGAGCTGCCTCTTCTGGCCTAGGAAAAAGTTGGCTAAGCGAAAAGTTACATTGAGCAGTGCATTTGCGGTGAGCCGTTGTTGTTATCGTCCTCGTCCTCGTAGTCGTCGTCGTCGTCGTAATCGTAAGTCGTCGACGCCTTTACCCTCAGCCGTACTCCTCCTCCTTTTGTGATTAGGCGCCATAGCAACGCCCCAGCTGAGGCTCAAGTCCTTATTTCTTCTTACATCTTTTGTTTTCACAAGCTCAAGCATCTCATGTGGGGATTCACATATGAGTGTGTGCGTGTGTTTATCTGTGTGTGTGTGTGTGTGCGTTAAGCGTTCACATTGTTGTGCAGTTTGTGCCTCACTCAACATTGTGCTGCTTTTTGTTGTTGTATTTTAATAACTGTAAGTACGGCACTTCCTGCAACAACAATGCGGCAAACGGAAAGGCAACATTATGTAATTGTTGCACACACACTCACACCAATAAATGCAACTATATGTGTGTGTGTGTGTGTGCCACCATTACAGTCAGGATCAATAGCATAATGCCAGTCAAAACTGCAAACACTCACTTTTATTAAAATACAACTAAAAGGAAACTCGAAACTAACTTGCAAGCTTCTCGACAACTTGCCAAAAGAACTCACAGCCTTGCCAGAACAAAAGAAAGGAATTATTACACAACTATTGGACACACATCTTCACATTTCACACGATTACGGAAGACGAATCTGCAATCAATTTTCGAAAATAACAAAATATTTCTAACAGCAGCCAACCAAAAAGTGATTTCAATTAAAATACATTTTTAAAAGGGCAATTGTACTACAGAACAAGGCATTTAATTTGCGGCCAACATGCACGTTTTGTTCTACGAAGGGCTCTTCAATTTAATTTGTGCTGGTATGCTCCCAATTTTGGGTACTTTTGAAGATAAGGCCCATCAAATTTAGTAACGATACTCCTACTTATTACTATATATGCCTAATTGTCACTCATTTTTACTCGTTTGAAACGTTTAAGCGTATGGCACAAAATTAAGATGAAACTAATTACAAATACAAGATTAATCACAAATTCCTATTAAAGCTGAGAAACAAAAAACAGATGGAGGAAGGCGTTACTTAGAATTAGAAATGAGTTACTATAAGTGGAGCCGAGGAATATAAATTCATTTGAGTTTTTCCATTTTATGATCTAAAGATTTCACATATGAGTACTATTGATTCAATTTTCTACAGCATCGAATCAAAAGTCCCATTAAACTTGATATGGGCTTAACTATATGCGCCTAGCTACTCCATTCAAATTGTATATTTAACAAGTTTCAAGTCAAGAAAAATATGACACATAATTGTTAATATTTCAAAAAACTCCCAAAGAAAAATAAAGAGGCAAATTAAAGACTCAAAACTCTTCAAGAGAAGAGTAATTATAGATGTTTTTCCAATTGCTTTGCATTCAATTGTCTGTCTCAGCAAATTAGCAATCTAAAGATTTTGAAAACTTAAATTCGAAACAAAGTCTTTCTTCATAAATTCATCTACAGATGAAAGCTAAAACTATTTAAGGTTTCTATTCTATTTGCCGATATAAATAAATAATTTGCAGATAAATAAATTCCCATAAAGACTCACATAAAAAGAAAGATTATGCTCGTTTTGGACAATTTTGTATAGATGTGTCCTTCAGTTCGCTGATCTGACTTTATAAACAGCAAGAACTTAAACAATAATTATCAAAGACATGTGAACCTCTTCGGGTCTTACATTTGTTGGTCTTCGAAGTTCTAACACATTAGAGTACCCAAGGGTTTTGAATTCTGGTTTATAGAAATTTGTTGTCTGCACTAAAATAACACAATGCTGAAACTGGACTGAACAATGCCTAACTTCGCTTAATTATTGTTTGAAAAGCATTTCATTTCCTGGTAAATCCGTAGCTCTGCTCTGCTGCATCGATTAACCTTCCCCCAAAACTCTCGACAGTATTCGAAGCCGATTAACAGTGAACGAGCACATAAATATTTAAGTTCTGTGTTATAAAATATTCAGGCCTTAGGAGAGTGGCTTTATTTTCTTGAGCCACGTTTATGCTAGACTCCTCGCCATAGTGTTCTTGTGTCTTGCTGTTGTTGTTGTGCCTTATGGGCTCTGCCATTTGCCTAATAGACTATCGCATAGCTTTTGTTGCTGTTCGGGTGTGTGCTGCGGTTTGAATGCAACGCCCCGGTACTTTTGGTAATTTCCAAGCCACGAACACACACACTTGCCGGCTTGCTGGTGGGGCGCGGTGCAGGGTTCTAGCTTAAAGTCTAATGAATGCAAATGTGCGGATATGTCTGTATGTGTGCATGCGTGCGTGTGCCCGCGCTCGCCATTGATGAGGCGCCGGCGGGCTGCAGTTTCATCGGCTGCTGCGGTTCTTGTTGGTTTTGTCGCAGCCGCCTTGAAAATGTTCCTCGAAACGTTCGAGGAGCGCACAAAAAACAATTAATTGTCTTTCACTCAGGCACTCGTTATGCACAGACACACACGCACACACACACACACGCACACTCACATACTCGCACATGCATTGACACAGCCACACAATGGCATAAGCCAAACAGCAATGCACAAAGCACACACACACACACACACACTCTTGAGGCACGTAGACGTCGTTGCTTGACTTTATTTTCGACTCGTATGCTCCGTTGTGGTTTTCTATGCAGCCATTGTGCAAGTGTGCGTGTGTGCGTGTGTGTGTGTGTGGGAGCTACTCCAACTTGCACTTAACACAATTTCAAGGCACACAAAAGACTTTCGCTGCGGCACAGAGCACCCAGCACCACACCTCTCCGCACCGCACCGCACCGCACCACACCACACCTCTCCACACCACACCGATGAACCACCCTAGAGCACAGAAAAAGAAATGAAAAGAAGTTTGCCGTACGGCGCGAGCTTTGCGCCGCTTTTGTTTTCGCATCAAAGCGTGTGGAACGACGAACCGGCGAGCCGTGCCACTCCTCAGGCGTTGCCACGTGGCATAAATTAATCACTTTACTAAACTGGCTACCCTGCCGTCTCTCTTTCCCCCCTCTCGCACGTTTTTTCCTCTGCACTCATTAGATATTTGGACCGGGAGGCACGAAGCTGGACGAGGACTATGACGATCCACCCGTTACCTTGTTGCGTGGTCCCCCAGGACCTCCGGGCTTGGCAGGAAAGGATGGACGGGACGGACGCGATGGCGCCAAGGGTGAAGCCGGCGAGCCCGGAGAGCCAGGATCTTTGGGTCCTCGCGGCTTAGACGGCCTGCCCGGTGAGCCAGGAATTGAAGGGCCGCCGGGACTGCCAGGCTATCAAGGACCGCCTGGCGAGAAAGGTGATCGCGGTGATATCGGACCTCCGGGCTTAATGGGTCCGCCTGGACTGCCAGGACCACCCGGCTACCCTGGCGTCAAGGGCGATAAGGGCGACCGCGGCGACTCGGTAAGTCGTCAAATCATTTGATTCCACATAATGAAAAAGCCACTCATAAAACTCTGTTCTCTGCAGTACCGCAAGATGCGTCGCCGTCAGGACGATGGCATGGCCGATGCACCCCACATGCCCACAATTGAATATGTGAGTAGAAATTAAGGAAGTTACATTCATTTCTTGCAGAATATCAAACTGGCCGAAAATATATTAAAATGTAACCAATATATTCACGAATTGAGCAACTGGTTAACATTTTCCCAATTGGGAGTCGAATTTTCTCAATTTATTGCTAGATTTGAAAGGAATTCTAAAAATACCGCTAAACTATTTGAACAAAAATAACATTTAACATCTAGAACATATCGACTGAAATGAAAAAATATGTACCCAAAAAGGGGTTATCGGGTGTGAGATATTTTACTTTAGACTATCTAACAAGTCTCGGATCCTAGTAAAATCTTCAGACTTAAACCAATTTTGGCGCTTCTAAATTTTAAAATTAACCCAAAGACCTATATCTATCAAAAACGATTAGATTTGAATAGATGGATAAGTACTTCAGAGCAAATCCCTTGACATTTCATTTACATTTCACAGCTTTATGGTCCACCAGGTCCGCCAGGACCAATGGGACCTCCTGGACATACCGGTGCCCAGGGAGAACGAGGCTTGGACGGGCGCAAAGGGGATCCGGTAAGTTTGAAGCTGTGCTATAAGGTTTTCCCAACGATAGAATGAAATTCTCTTTGGCTTTGCAGGGCGAGAAGGGTCATAAGGGTGATCAGGGTCCCATGGGCTTGCCTGTAAGTAGTAATTGGCTCGAATAAATATTGAATCCACTTACTAAATTGTTGCCTACTTACAGGGTCCCATGGGTATGCGTGGCGAGTCGGGTCCCTCCGGTCCAGCTGGAAAAGCTGGCTTACCGGTAAGTAACTGAGAGACTCTTTCGAAAATATCGTTTACTCACAAAAACTAATCTGATTGGCTATTGATTAACGCGAAAATTCGTTTGTTTTGTTAATTTTCTAACAACTGTTTTATGTCGATGTCACTAAAAATGTCTAACCACATATATGTCTTCTCCCCTCTCTTTTTCTTCTTCTTTGAACAGGTGTGGGGCTACTAATACTAGTTAAAAGAAAAATGCAGTCTAATAAGAAATAACGAACAAAAAGAACACTACACTCAAGGTGCAAAGTCACATGAAATGCGAAATACACAAACAACACACGACATTCTCACACACACACAAACACACACACACACTCACACAGATCATACACATCAGAACATGAAGACAAGTGCAAAAAAGAAAACCAATCGCTGAAATCTAACGAAACATATACAAAGGCTACAAACAAAAATATGCAATAAATGTTCAAAGCTGGTGCTTAGTCGAAAGCATCGTTGTCAGAACGCGCTCAGTTATCGTCTATATATAGTTATATATATATCGTAAATAGAACCTATACATATATAAAGATGTCTATATATATGTGTGTGTATATACCAATATGAACAAATCTGTGTAAATACAAAGTGTTGCCCGAATATAAGCAGCATGACAGCTTTTAAGAAAACTATTGAATGCATACTCGTATGTCCCCATATAGTATCGACACTCCCCCCCTCCCTTCCAATACACACTCTAACACACACAGAAAAGTATAACTCATATCATGCCAAGGAACGAAAATTGCCGAAATCGAAAGAGTATCTATTTATACAAGCAAATAAACAAACATAATTATATCTACAATAACAAATAAGCCAGTAATCGTACCAGAGAACGAGCGAAACAATCTATTTACATCTATCAATTGATGCAACTAACTAACTTGTACACACACACACACACACTCATACACAGGCATACAAACAAACACACACATACACCCACTAGCACTAGCGCTAAGCACACACAACTAACAGCAAGATGAGACACACGAATCAAGCAACCACCCAACAGAACACAACAGACAGAAAGACTGACAGACTGGCAGACTGACAGACAAACAAACAAACACACACACAACTAACTCACACACACAAACAAACACACACATGCAATGCAAATATTTTAATTGCATTTCATTTGTCGCTGCCACGTGCAAATTTGCATTTGAGCAGCAGCAGCAACAACAACAGCAACAGCAACAGCGATACGACAACTTCCACTTGCATAAATCATACGCCCCGTTGTACGTGAAAATCGCACACAAATTCCGTCACCAATATGCTGTCTGTCTAAGCGAATTCTAGCTTTTGGCAACAATTGTGGCAAAGCGCTGGCAACTAAGTGGTCAGCAATGATGTGAACAATCAAGTGATGCCATCATGAGATGGCATTTGAAATCGAAACCGATAGATGTTGCAGCAAGATATTAACACCTAAAATCCAAGCTAATAACGAAATTATGTCTGAAGCAGAAATGAAATGACGGAAATGGTTAAAACACTGCTTTATTTATTGCTTGAGAAACACCGGATTATCAATGACACAAAAACCATTAAAGAACTTTTGAATTCTTTTAATTCTAATTCTAATTAGGCGATCTGTCCATGGACTTATTCTCCTTTTTACATTCACCTTAAGCTGTCAAGCTTTAAAGTTTTAATTTCTGTAAGGGTAGTAAAGCCAAGCATATATTTTTGTGAATCATTTCAAAGGATCAATCCAGTTATCTGGATTTTGTTATATTTTAACAGAAACTCATCACACAATATTCTGTTATTTAATTATTTTATTTTATTATTGTATTTCACCGATACATATCCAAGACTGCTAAAAACAAAGCGCCAGTAAAGAAAATTCGAGCCAGGAACCGTTGCCACTACACACATGAGTATATTTTACGCATAAAGGCTCCCCACGTTGCCACAAAAGAACAGTTTATTCCTTATATTTAAAAGCTTTACCTTGCCTTTGAAAATAAATCCTAATGCCAAGCCTTAAAGCTGTCACGATTGTCACGCCAAATAACATTTCAATTCATTGTTTGTGGTCTTAATGGTTTGAATATTCAATAAACAGTTTTTTAAATTGAATTAGGAAACAAAGCCAAAGAGTGGCACCTAAAAGTTTGATTTTCTTTACTACTTGGCTGGAGGAACATTCCGAATATGTTTCAGAGAGCAGTGAAAACACATTTCTCTTCGCAAGCAGTTATATAATTGGAAATAAAATTGCGGCTCTTCTTAGTTCGTGCTATCGTTTGTTGAATTTTATTTCAATTGTATCGTCCTTGCGGTCAGGCAGGCAATTGCATTTTCTAAATTGCAGTTCACATAAATAATTAATTGGTGTCAAGAACTGCACTTAACGATTTAAATTGCAGTTCAACATTTTGCATTCAGCACTCAATTTCGTAATTCGAGATCACATCTTGTCAAGCTATAATTAGTCACGTGCTCTGGGAAATTAACTCGGCAAGTTCATGTAATTGCTATCTTGTTTATTATCTATCTGTAATCTGCTGCTTTTGTTGCTGAAGTATTGCAGTTGTTGTGGTTGTTGCTCTTGAAGTTGCTGTTAATGCTGAGTCAATGCATTGTCTTAGGTGCCGTCCATGGGCTTTGTTCTATAGTTGATTCAATTATAAATACAAAGCATAATTGCCAAGCCTTCAGTGCATAACAAAACAAAACAAAACAAAATGAAACTAAACGCAGCACAGAGCATGCTGGTACATATTATTTTGAAAGGGATACAAGTATTTACACATATACATACATACAAGTTTATTGCTTAAGGCAGACTCAGTCCGCTGACAAATTGAAATTGAAATTGCAATTGCAATTGTCTGCTTTGAGGGCGTAACGCAAAATTAATTAAAATAAGTAAAAAATTAAACTGTAAAATAAATTCTCTCTCTCACCTCTTCTCAGTGTTTATGCGTATATGGTACATATGGTATTAATGTCTATGGCAAATATATACAAATACATATATACTATGCACACGTGCGTGTGTAAATGAAAAAAAAAAAAGAATAACAAGAAAATCTCCAAATATGAAATACGATATAACAACAACTACAACAACAACAAAGAGCTATCTTCCAATTGTGCATATTTTCCAATGTTAAAACTTCAATTTACACAAAGCTAAGCAACTCGAATTAGTTAGGCTAAAGTTGAAATATGAAATGAAAACAAATGACAAACCACTACAAATATGAAGAGCGACAAAGCTGCAGATATCGGGCAAACCGATAAGCGAATACCCTTGCCAAGTACAGCTCTTAAGAGAGGAATTTCAACGCTAAGTCATCCTACTTTTCATTTAATCCAATCACCTCAGCTGTGCATCGATATCATCATACATTATTCACACTTTAATTCTAATACATAACATCTTTATGACTAACTTTAAAGCTGCTCTGTAATTGTAATTGTCGAGGGTATACAGTTTTTACGCTCAAATATCAGCATCAGCCATAAATCAATACCCCTTACTATGTATCCTATTGGTTTCATTGAGCATCTCAAAAACAAAACAACACAAAACAAGAAATCGAAACTCTATGTATAACCAAATGAACGAATAACAAACAAAGCTGGCATACAAAATGCAAGAAGAGATAAAACTGTATTGGACGAAAATGTGTTTTCAACTTTAATGTTGGAAGAAAAAGAAACGAATAAATAACAAAAGCGCAAATTAAAAATGCGAATAAATTAAAGTTTTACATACGAATACTATACAAGTATGTATGATGTCGTTTTTTGTTCGCACGACTGCGCAACTGCGTTTTCTGATCAGCAAACAAAACGAATAAAATGCAAAATGCAATTACAGTTTATGGAAATGCAAATAGGAATTTAAAAGCTTAAGAGATTTACGCACCTGTCTGGCCAAAGGTAGTCGGTGGCCGATGGGGGTCACGAAGCTGCAAAGAAAAGTCAATTTGTTTTCAATTAAGAGTAGTTGAGTGCGTGTGGCCAGTGTGTTGCAAAAACGATTTGCATGTCAATTCGAATACAGACGAGCCTCGGGCCTCGGGCCTCGAGCACCGAGCACCGAGCCCCACCAAAATGTGTACATAGAGCATAAGGCCAAGAATAACGAAATCAAGAGATGCAGAAGCATTTGAAACTACTCGTGCATGAATGTGTTAATTTACAAGAGATTTTTACGCTTAACTCCTTATCTCTCTCGAAACTCTTCACTACCTACCTAAATACCTACCCACTAAAAACTAAAAACTAAAAACTTACAACTACAAACTACCAACTAATACTATTCGAACACACATTTAACTTTTGTCTTGCTTATCGAACACTCATAGGATAGGATAATGAATAGTGCAGCTCCTTAAATGCAAATGCAACTGTATGTTTGTTTGTAAGCGTCTGACACTAATTGTGTAAGTGTAAATTTGTTAATTACTAAAATAAACGTTTCGAATGCACAAAACCAAGAAGAAGAAGAAGAAAAAACACTATGCTAATTTATAAATATATAAATACATCTCCATATATATACATATATATATATATATATATATACACATATAAACATGCACATATATGGTACATATGTTTTATGTCTAAATATCAATGTGTACGCGCGCGTGTGTGTGTGTGTGCGTAATGCAATTAAACTGAAAGCAAACAAAGTTTTTCCAGTGCGGCGCGCATTGAAAATTCATGATTTATACCGTTATTCGCAATAAAAAGAGTCAAAGCATGTGCAAATATGAATTAAAAGCAAACCAAAAACACACACGCACGCAATCAAATCAAATAAAAGAAGGAGAGAACGAACGAAAGAACGTGCGAACGAACGAAGAATGAAGAATGAGGAATAATAATGTAAAGTGGCAAATGGAATTAACATAATTTTCATATTAATTATGCATTTTCAATAAAGTGATGGTTTTTTTACTAACAACCTGTACATATGTATGTATGTTTGTCGCTTTTGGGGTAATTTCTGCAGGCGCCTACAGGCTAGGCAACACTTTTCGCAAATGCCCGCCCAGTGTTGCTGAGCTGCATTCGCCTTTGCCTCCGCTTATCACTTATCGTGCTTTACGTTCTCATTCGCTGCAGGGTCCGCCCGGCTTGGATGGCATGAAGGTACCTACATATTTAGCTAACTACTCCCGCTAATCAAACCATATTTCAAACGCAATTAATCAATCAACGTATTTGTCATGCAGGGCGCTCAGGGCGAGACGGGTCTGAAGGGCGAACGCGGCGATCCGGGCTTGCCGGTAAGTAACAGCCCCACCACACACACTACCTATGTATGTATGTACTTGTATGTATGTAGCAGACAGACACACCCACACTTGTTTTAGTAGTCACTAATTTGAATAATTTGTGTCTTCCTCTTCTTTTTTATTTTTATTTTCGTATGCATGCCACTCCTACCTTTTCGGCGCTCCACATTCAACACTCTACCCCTCCACAATTCACCTACACACTCACACACACACACAAACACTCACAACACATGCACATTTAAAATCGAAAAAGGGCACTGATGGCATCCCCGGGCAGGAGGGGCCGCGTGGCGAACAAGGATCACGAGGCGATGCTGGGCCGCCCGGGAAGCGTGGACGCAAAGGAGATCGCGGCGACAAGGGCGAACAGGGCGTGCCCGGACTGGATGCGCCCTGCCCCCTGGGTGCTGACGGGCTGCCGCTGCCGGGCTGCGGTTGGCGTCCGCCAAAGGTTAGCAAGCATTTCAATGCTCCCCACCCCCTCTCTATTCTCTATTCTCTAATTTCTAATTGGCTGAAGTGAAAGTACAAATCTAAAAATTTGCATGCTCCACCTTTAATGTTGTTGTTGTTGTTCTCGTTGACTAACTCTAACTTTTGCTTTCGCACACACGCACACACACACACACACACACACATATTAATAAACACACTTTAACAAACACACCTATGCGCGAGCCCAGGAGCCTGTCATCTCAACGCCCGTGCACAAGGACTATTTGCCAGATGTAACTCAGCCGGAAAGCAATGCCAGCGATTACGAGCAGGAGGAGGAGGACGAGGAGGAGCAGGCGGAGGATAATGAAAACGAATATGATGAATATCAGGATAATTTGCATAACAATGACTAAAAAAAAAGAAGTGGCAGCAGGAAGAGAGGAGCAGGCATACCCGAATGCAAAGGCAAACAAACAAACAAACACACTCACACACACACACAAAATAAACAAACAAACAAGCAAGCAAGCAACGCACCCACGCACCCGCACAAGCAAACGAAATGACACACACACACACACACACACACAGACGCACACGCACGGGCGCCTAGTTAAGCATTTCTGATTTCCGCTGCTTGGCTCGGCTCCGTTTCGCTCTGTTGACATTCGCAATTAGCGCTAACAAATGCCAAGTGGCTGCTGCTGCTTCTAACGGTTTACTAAAGTACATGCTATTAACATACGCACACACACACACACATAGTAGTTACACTCACACACACACAGACCTTGGCTTTGGCTTGGTGTTGGCAAGTAGCTTTTTGTTTTTTTGTTTTTTTCCTTCCCTGACATCATTCGGCGCTTCGGCCAACACATCCGTTTAAATTTCGTTTCGCTTTCCCCAGGAGCACTGGCAGACGTGGCTCAAGGACGAGTTGAACGCGCTGCAGCACCCGAAATCAAAAAACTAATTGCCTCAGCTGCAGCAAACGCGTTCGCCCAGCGACCCCCGCCCCGCCCGTGTCTTGGCAATATTCACACGCATCTAAGCGTTTTGCTCTTAATTTTAGTTACTTGTTATTGTTAAATGTAGAAAGCGAACAAAACATAAATACTACGACTACTCGTATACTGTATAATCGACCTGTAACCCATACATAACTGGTAGCCCGTAATTTGTAAAACGCTCGACCCTCTGTGCCAAAATCAGCAAAAGCAAACTAAACTCTACTATACTTTCTACTCTACATGTAATCTACCGTGTAATTGTAATGTTGTATCTATAATCGTGTTTTGCCACAACTTCTATACTACGTACTACATTCTAGGCATTAAGCTCTGAGCAGCACGCACGAGCACGCACTCAGCTATTTTTTACAAAACTATTTAAAACAAACTAAAAATAAACGTAAAGACTCAACAGAAACAAGCTTGGCAGTCTTTTAAACCAAAAATTTGGGAAGTTTGGAAAGTTGCTTGCAATTCTTGAATTGTCGGTTCAAACATATAGATGGAGATCGTCCTTCGCTGCAGAACGAATCTCGTGAAGGGCGTCCAGAAACAATCGCTGCTGTAAAAATGTTGGGAATTTACGTTCGTGAATGTGAATTTTGAGATTCAACCTAACCTAACCTATTGGACTACGACTCACAAAAAAAAAAAGGCGTGTCAATTAGAGTTCAAAAATGTGGACGCAACACTATCCCAGTGGTTCCAAAAATATTAATGACTTCGTAGCAAGTGAATAATCTTGAAGCTATGCAAATAATATGAGCCCGAATCAGTTCTGAATGGTGCAATACGATTCACTTTCTATTAGTTTTCGGAGACATCTACTCAAGTTCCAAAAACATTGAATTAATGAGTCATCTCCCTCAAAGTTCGCTTCTAATCAAGTCATTTATTTTTCCATTGGGAACTAGTTTTTTAAATAAATGTTGGCAGCACTGCAATTGAAAATTTCAAAGCAGCTCTGGCGAAGAAAATGTCAGTAAATGTCATTTAGCGAGCAATTGCTTTGTTTTACTTGTGAACTCGGTGTCTGATTGGATACAAATCGAAAGGTAATTACAAAAGCCTCCTCTTTATGTGGAACTCTAATGGAAATGTTGTAAACAAATATATTTCAGAATTCATTCTTTATTGGTTTTTGTTTTTTTTGTCGTAAACTGCCATAATGGCTTCCTCAAATGAGCCTGGAGATAGAGAAATAAACCAAGCTGCGAAGACAGCGAGAACGATTCCTGCTTCGCCATTCGAGCCATACGTCAGGCCGGTGAACGGTGTTGTCCAGCCCCATGTGAAGCCCCACCCAAGACATGCCGGTCGTCAAACCAGCATGTTAGAAAAGCTCAAGCTGGTCCTAAAGATGCTGTTGCGTAGCGACTATTCCGCGTACTTCCGACACCCGGTAGATGCCATTGCTCAGAACCTTCCAGACTACCACTCGAGAATATTTTATCCCATGGACCTGTCCACAATCGAAGCGAGACTCAACAATAACTACTACCGGGTGGTCAGCGAAGCGCTACAGGACTTTGAGCTAATATTCTTCAACTGTCTGCTGTACTATCCGGCGAGGACTCCAGAGCGCATTGCTAGAACAGCATTGCGGAGCTTATTATACGCCAAGCTAGAGGCCATTGATGTAGAACTGATGGACGCAGCACAGACTGGTGGGCCTAGCTCCCGGAAACGTAGCACGGAACTGACACGCCAGGGGCCGCCAATCGAGGTGTCCAACTGCCAGAAACAAGATCTAATCGGCCAACAGCGTAGTCTCGAACACATCGATTATCTGGTAGAGCGCTATTTCTGTCAGCACTTCATAGGGGTTATGTGTAAGAAAAAGTTTGAAGAATTCAACAGACCGTTTAAGAACGCCGGCGAATGGAAACTATGCTTAAAGGACAACTTCGAGAATATGGAAAAACTCGATTGGCCAATTTTAGAGAAGAAACTCAGGGCCAACCAGCTCTCAGGCATAGACGACTTTTCCAAGACGGTGCGCAAAATGTTTCAAAACGTGCGCGACCATTTCCCCAACAGTCCCACTGCGAAGGAGTGCGTTGAAACGATGGAGAGAATTTTTGACACCCTGTTGCCGAAATACAAATTCCTGATTGGCAAATCGAGAAAAAGGTCCCGAATCCTATATGTACAAACATTAAAGAACTTGTCCAAGGGCGAAGAGTTGCCGAGCGAGTTGCTTAAGCAATTGATGACCGCCCCCGAACAGGATGTGTCCAATGCTGCTCCCGTCATTCCAAGCACCCTGGACGATGAGATCAATATCAACGAAATAAATAAGACCGTGGATACCATAACCATCAAGATGGTAACTAGACTTATAGAGGCTACTAATAGCCGCCGTACCTAATGGAAAGCCGAGCCAAAACCGACTTTTCTGGCTCGAAATAAACACACAATAAACTGCCTGCAACCGATATTCAGGAGCAAGCAAGTCATTTGAGTAGCATTTCTGATTATTCATAAAAGGACAGATAATTAAAAAACGTGCTTACATAGAGGAGCTCTCACTCCTTCAATAGCTTCAAATGCTTCACATATTTGTGTACGGTTTCCTTAATGTACGGCTTCACGGCAATACAAGTGGGAATGTTCTCCGGCTGTTCGATCCACAGCTTGTGTTTTATTTCGTTCTCCTTCAGCTTTTCGCTTAGTTTAATCAGCGCCGCCTCGTCTTTGGCCTGCAACGGAATGACTTTGGTTACATTATTCTCATAATGGTTATAGCCCCTGCACCCACTCACCTCCAGCACCACCTTATGCATGTTGTCCAAGTCCTTCAGATACGCCACCGTGTCGGCGTCTTCGGCGTGCACGCTCATTACCGCCGCTGTGGCATGGCAGCACTGAGCGATGACTGCTCCGAGTGGCCAGTTGAGTGTCGCACGCAAATCGCTGCGCACAACGATGTACTGCACTATGTTCGCCATCGCCGGGATTATTCAGTTTCAGTCTATAGTTTCAGGTTGAAAGCCAAGACAGCAGCCGGCATCATCAGCTGCTTCTGATGCCGCCTTTTCGCGATTTGGTGATGCCATACCAACCAAAAATGCTTGCTCGCCATGGTGGTTGAATCGACTGCAGGCACCTGAAAGCTCAGTTGTACGAAACTTCATGCCACAATGCAAACATTTTCTTAGCGCCGCTTTATTTAAAATAAACAACAATCTAAATTGAAAAGCCAATATCTGGCATTTAGTGCAGTGCCCATTTCATGGAATTATTACTACTCGAGGATGTGTCCGCTCCCGAATTAAAACAAATTTATAGAATTTGACTTGCCCTGAGTGGATTTCTCAAATTTGTTCAAATATATTTCACAAACTAGCTATAAAAATTTCATTAATTCTGCCAAATCGATTGCTAAAAGGCTTTTACAAAAGTCAAACAAAATAAGTTTTAAATAAAAAAAATTTACATTTTTTGCAAACCCAAGCAAACACTCTTGGAGATTCCTCTATAATTTTAATATCAAAATTAAACACTTTTTTGCTCAAAGCTTTCATTGAGATTTAGAAGCACAAATATTAAGAGATCAAAAACATGTTTTTAATATAATGCATACATTTTATTGGGAAGAAGTTTCATTCTGTAAAGCTCCAGCTATATATCTCAGAATTCCATTGCTTCTTCTTCTTCAAACACTGCCCCAAATCCTAAACTGAAATTGTAATAAAGTCAAAACCAAGGTCCGAAAGAGTTTTATTGTGAATTTTAAACCAATATCATCGACATCAGGAAGAAACAGTAAAGCTCTTCTCCTTCTAGAAATTGCAATCAATCAATCCATAATTGTACACTGGAAAAAAAATGTCTATACTAAAACATGCGTAATTTTAAAAACATGTTCTACAATTGGGAAGTTGTTTATTTTAATTTTATTATTATTTTAAAGGTTTAACTGAAAATTTGTCGAAAACTGGCAAGACACGTGCATTTTTATTGAAATTTGAGCCAAATCTAGTATTGGAAATTGAGTTTCATTTTTTTAGATGCCCAGAAACTATTTAGAAGAGATTTCTTAATACATATGCTAGCATTTCTGCGATTCTCATGTTAAACTATATCTTAACAATCTTACCAACCTTTTTAAAAGAAAGAGTTTTTCTGCATTTCATAAAAATTTTGTCAGTGTTTTCCACCAAGTCTAACCTACAAGTATATGACAATACTAAGACAGATTTTAAACAGTCTATCCAAAGGACGCTTTGGTTCACAAATTTGAGATACTTCCGCCACCTGCTTGGAACTGAAAATGTGTGCAGACCGCAATTATGAGAACATAATGCCCCTCACTTACCATACATTAATATCTTAAGCAGTGTTGGAAAGCGCATGTCGTTGCATAAATTACGCACCCGCCAGCGAGGCTTCAAGGTTTCGCTGCTAGCCAAGGGGAAAATTATAATTTTCATAAATTGCTAGCCCGAAGGGATACATTAACGTATACGTTATGCGCAACCAGCCCGTCTCTTGGCCCACAGCCATCCCCTTCTACAATAGATAAATACATGCAATGCAGGCAAGGCATTGGTTTAATGGTTGTTGTAGTTGTAGTAGTAATAGTAGTAGATATTTTGCATTTATTGTTGAAATTGGTTGGAACACTTTATAGTTTATATTCATAATAGTACACAATATAGCTACGATACGATAAACGACATCTACACACACATAAACAACTCGACGGTTTAACTGGTTTAGTTACTTTGGGGGTCAACAATACTCACTAAGGTACTTGAATCCGTTTTGATAATTGAATCTTTAACTATAGTATTACTCGCGATCAAAAATATAGACAAATAGACACACTAAGTTGGAATAGTTGTTGTTTGGGAAGGAGCTGAGAGGAAAACATTAATTAGCTAACAACGACGGAGCTTCATATATTTGGATTTTTTGCTTTTCTTTTCTTTGTTTTGTTTTGTTTTGTTTGGTTTTGTTTGGTTTTGTTTTTGGTTTGTCTTCTTTGGCTAACTGGATGGGCGAATTAAGAGAATTGAATTGAATCGTCTTTAAGTTAATTGCTAATTTAAATTTGAAATTTCACTTGTTGCCATAGACCGCGTCAAGGGGAGGGGCGCCTCAGCCCAGTTAGAAGGTGGTCTTGCCAAAGATGAAGTTGCCGGGCGCGTTGACATCCTCGGCGGAGAAGTACTCCTTCCACAAGGCGGCGAACTGGTCGCGCGTCACATCCGTCTGGCCCTGGGCCATCTTGCTGAAGGCCTGCTCGCACTCCGACTTCTCCACGCCGTAGCTGGAGCAGACGAGCGTGAACTCCGTGACGTCGATGCCGCCATCGTGCGAGGCATCCTCCAGATCGAACATGAAGTTCATGTACGCGTTCTGCCAGTCCATGACCGAGCTCGGATCCTTCGCGTACGCGTCCCACATGTTGCACCACTCATCGACGCTGACCTGCAAAGACAATGTGGTTGAGCCAGTTTCTTGAGTGGGTGGGGTGGGGTAGGGTGGGGGTGGGGGTGCGGGAAGTGGGTGACGACAGGACGTTAAAAGCAACCGATTTATGGCCGCATCGCGCCTCGCCCCGCGACAAAGCACATTAAAGGCCTGACCCCCGCCCCGGGCCAGCATTGGCACATAAAACATCCCATTGGCTATTAAACTCGTTAAACTTGTCGGCCGGCTCGGCTCGGCTCGGCAGTGCGGTCCTCCACCAGCCCATAATTTATGCGCCACTAACAAGCCTAGCATACTTTTTGACCACAGCAGCGTTATTAGCGTTTTTAGGCAAACGGCAGGCCAACAGCAATTACCGCAGACGGCGTCGCAGCCCACTAAACGCCTTGACCGCCTTGGTGGCCCCCACCCCACCTTGAGGTCTCTTCCAAACAGCCGTTACGCTTTGGCACGTTTTAATATGGCCATAAATAAAAAACAATAGACAATGGGCGGCCCATCAATTGCAGAGCCAATTGGCCAAATGCGAGACCGCAAAGCACAGCACAGCCGACTGCATATTTTTTATGTTTATTGCTTGTAAGTGGCGCTGGTGGCCCAATTGAAATGCCAAAAGGCTGCCCATCCTTGACCGCTCCTGTTGTAGTTATAATTTCTGTTGTTGTTGCTGTTGTTACTGTTGCGTTTGTTGCGAAAAGTGTGCCCCGCGGCATGCGTACGTCGCGTTAGCCACAGCGGCAACTAAGCTCGTAAATTTAAAAGGCACTCGGCTTATTTGCAGAGACTTCGTCAACTTTTTGGCCAACAGCCAACAACCAACAGCCAAGAGGGCCAGCAACCCAACTTGTAGGTCCCAGAAGCAGCACTTCATCAGCCAAGTCGCGCGCCAATGCTTAGAAGCTCACAAACACATAAGCTAGAGATGGAAGTGCTAATGAAATGACCAGAAAGCAAACAATCGGCTTGGTGCAATGGAACGAAACAACGCAAGTAGCTGCAGAGGTGTGCAGCGTTCCACTCCACTCAGAAACGAAATGGCAATGGTGGACTGAGGAAGCCCCTCGACCATGCCACATCGAATTAGAATCTCACAAACACACATGGACACGCAATCATTTAAAATAGAGATGGAAGTACGGAATAGTGATGACGAAATGAGAATGATTATGGAAGTTTCACTACGAATTGGTTTTTGTGCGAAAACAATATTGTTGACTAAATCATGGTCTAGTTTTGTTCAGAGAAGATAAAAAAAATATAAACGAAGTAAAGTCTCAACTTCACTAGAGAAAATTAAATGGAAATGAAACAACTGTACTAGTTTTAAGAGTGTACAGTGTTCCATTCTACTGAGAAACGAAATGGCAATGGTGGACTGGAGAAGCCCATCGACAGTGCTACATCGAATTAGTATCTCAAAAAACACACATGGACACGAAATCATTTAAAGTAGAGATGGAAAGTAATGAAGAAATTACGAAAGTTAAGGAAGTAGTAGTTGAAGTAGTTGAAATGGAATACGAAAACAATATTGTATACTAACTCATGGTCTAGATTTGTACAGAGAAGATAAAACTCACCCATAGTGTTTAGAAAATGTAAACGAAGTTATATAAAGTAGAGAAAAAAGCTTAAAGAAAGTAATCAATCTCACTGCCATTTGTTTTATGGAAATGTAACAACTGTGGTAGTTTTAAGGGTGTACAGTGTTCCATTCGAATGAGAAACAAAGTGGTAATGGTGGACTGAAGCAGCCCATCGACAATGCTCTAGAAAATTATATAAGACATGAATAAACAATATCCTATAACTGTATTGCTAAACAGGACTTCTGAAGATACGTATTGAATTATCAACCAGCTTGGAAACAATTCTTTCCAATTCATTCCTTTGATTATAAATGTTGCAAGTAAAAAGTCAACTCTTCATTTCCATTTGTGATTATGGCGATTAATTTAGAGTAGAAAATGAAAACAAAATGTATCAAAGGAGATTCATTTCATGGGTGTAGAATTGAAACACAATGCAAGTATCGCAGAGGTTTCAAGTATGTTGCGATTTTGCTGATAATACCAATACATAGAAAGGCAAGCAACATTAAAATGTAATCAAATACAAGATATGGACGAATTTAAAAGATGACTCACTTTTTAGATTCGGTTAAAAAGAATTTATAAACCAAATGCTGACCCGGACATCGGGGTCACTAAATTCTTGAATTGGTATTAAAACTGAAGAAATAGTTATTGGCTTTAGTTGAGTCTTGCATAGTGGAGTGAAATTCAGTTTCAAATCAAGGGAAGGCAATTGAGTAGAGTTGGAATGGATTTGGGGAAAATCCGACGTGATTACAAGTATGGCTTGTCACGATGCCAGCTCGAATGCACGCGCACGCTCGTTTCAATTGAATTAAGCTGCGGTCGTTGTCCTCCCCTAGCGGTCGCGCCCCCCAGGCCTATCCAAGTGCAGCTTCCCGTTGCCGTTGCCGTTTACCAGTCGCCGGCATAGCGCTGACATTTCAATTTCTCGTTACATTGTATCGCAATCGAGTCTTTGTTGCCGCCTTGGCTGTGGCTGTTGTCGACTGTATTGTGGAAACTGTGCTGCATGCGAATGCCTAGTCGAGATTATAATTTAATTTGTGCCGTCTGATTATACAAAAGCCATAGCTATAGTCATAGTTGTTGGCGTCGTCCCACAATTTCAATCAGCTCCGCAGCACCTTGCGCTAAATCGCCGAAACTTGTGCAAACTATCATTCGAAAGACTCGTTTGCGGCCAAAGTTTGAACGCTTACTGCAACGACCTGTCGTTGTCGTTTGCCATTGGCTTTAGCTTTTCCTTTGCCATCAGTCTGCTTTAGTTGGCCAAGCACGAAATCTGCATACTCCAAATACTTACGAGTGTTTTCTAAATTCACAATTCAATTTCCGCCATGGTCGTCGCTTGTGCGGACTGAGGAATTTGTTTATTGTGCGCCCGCCGCATGCCAAACTAATGGAAGGAAATTTACGAAAATTTATGAAAATTCGCCTGCCGCTGACAATGCGAAGCGCCGAGCGCACTCAACTGGCAATACACTGAGGAAATGTGCGGCTTAGAAACGAGATTGTACAAGCATTCGCAGAAAAGCTATAACAAACTATTTGCATTCAAATGCAATGGGAGCTGAAAAACATTGGAAGCTCGAGAGGAAAAAGTGTCACAATAATTTAAAATAAGCCGCTGAAGGAACCGTGGGACTAATACGCTTCTCTTACAACTTCGACTTCAAAATGGCGTCATCTTTATTGCTAAGCACTGGCATATCCTCCAAGAATTTCCGGCAGTGTTCGCACAATGCGACCGACTTTCTCTGATATATGTATGAACTCGCATTCATATGACTCTGCCCCTACTTGCGTTTTTGTGTCAGACTGCGCACTCGTTGTCAATTGCTATGGCTGTTGCAGTTGCAGACACAATAGCCCCGAGTGCAGTCCATAGATTTCAGCACTTTTGGCAGTGACAATGAAGCCACTCAACAAAAAATGAAGCCTGCCCCCCAAACACTTGACATGCAGTTGCCAGTCGCCAGTTGGCAGTTTTTGGTTTTCTGTTCTCTGTTTTGTCCTTTTGCCTCGGGCTTGCCAAATGTGCAACTCAATAAATAGAGAGAGAGAGAGAGAGAGAGAAAAGCCACAAATTAGATCTCACCTGGCCGTCGTTATCCTTGTCAGCTTTCGATTTGAGGCCATTCCAAATCTCCATCATCACATCGTACGTCTCCTTGTTCTTCGGCGTATCCTTTGCCCAGCCACGCAGTTTGCAAACACGCTGCAAGAACAGCAAAAACAATCACAATAAAATCTCGTGTGTGCTCGCCATGTGATGCATGATGTATGTATAATACACTACTATATGGTTATATATACATATATGTGTATGTGTGTGTGTGTGTGTGTTTGTGTTCGTATGTAAATTGAGTTATCAGTTGCGTGCTGGAAAGTCAATAGAAAAAAATGCCAGGAAATCAACAGTCAGCAAAAAAGGCTGCTACAGCAGAAAAAAGCAAAATAAAATGCAAATGCATATAAACTGAAATGGTGGGGAAAAAAACAGAGTAACTCGTCTATATAGTATATGAACTATCCAAAAATATGGTTCAGAGGGATATGTGCAGTTTTCACATTTTTCTAAAAATAAAGAGTATGTTCCAGCATCGAAGCAATGAGGACTTTCTTTGAAGTATTGGCAGATTGCAAAGCTTTAATCACCTTCTTACTTCCTGATAATAATCAATATATATCGCATGAAAACTTCACTTTAGAATGGCTTGGTTGTTTCCATAAAGAATAGCTCAAAGGCTAACTAGTTGTAGTTAGTGGCTTTTCTCTTTTTCAAGTGTTGCAACAAACCATGCTATGGAAATTGGAATTCGAGTGGTTTAAGTACTATTTTAGAGTTTATTTCTCTGCCCATGCCAGACTTCAGAACATATTCAAATTTGTTGCTGCATTTGTCTTCAAGTTTATGCAAAAACAATAATTTCTTATGCTCATAAACTGCATGCGAGGCCTAAGGAATTCTGGCAATACATTTTGGTGCGAGCACAAAATCTTGTTTGGCATTGAAGGGTACAAATATTATTAGAGCTATAAATGCTTGCAACAAAATACTTTGCAACATTCCAACTAGTTTATTTAAATTTTGCATATTTATTGCGGCAATTTTCACAATTCACACAATTTTTCGGCATATTTTCCATAGTTTTCCACTTGCCCCCAACTCTTCCTGCACCCGCACTCGCACCCGCACCCGCACTTACCTCAATGGCCAGCTCGAAGTCCTTCACGTCAATTTCGCCGCTTTGGTTCACATCTGTTGGTTGGTTGTTTGTGTGTTTTGTTATTCCGTTTTTGAACGCCAGCGCATTGTTTGCATTGTTGTTATTATTTTAGCCAATTCGTTGCGGGTGTCGGCATCGGCAACGGCGTTGACGTCGACGTTGGCGTTGGCGTTGACGTTGACGGCGGCAGCGAGCAGTCAGCGTAAATTGCAAAGCAAATTTTTCGTGTATTGCGGCAGTTGGTTAGCATATTATTGTTGTTTTCGTTGTTGTGGTTGTTGTTGGAAAGTGCGCAGCGAGGACAATGAAAAATAGCAACATAAATGCAAGTTAAACGGATTTCATGGTGCGCGCCCCATTCGCACAGCTGTGCTGCACTTCCTCTGTCGCCCCAATACTCCCCTGCCTCTTTGCATCACTCGATAATCCCTGCTGTTGCTGTACGAACATTTTCAAATGCCTGCCAAAAGCTACGACCTGCTCCCCCCTGCCCCCTTCAATAGACTGACCCAAAATTTGGCTTTTCGCCACGTGCTGACAGGACATTGTTGCAGTCCTTGTTGTTGCTGCTGCTGCTGCTGTGTTGGACGTGTTAGACGTATCGTTTGCAACGGTGTGCAAATGGCCACTTCATTGTTCAATGCCAACCAAAGGGCTTTCAATGTCAAGGGCCCCAACACCATTAGAAATGCTCGTAGTCGTCCGTTGTAGCGACTCTCCACTGCGGGCGTTGCAAACTTTAAGGCTGCCACTAATTAGTTGCCTGTATGCATGCATTGTGTGTAATTGAAAAGCACTTAGTCCACTCAGAGGATGGACTTTGTGTTGTCCTTCCATCAGCTCGCGTAGTGGGAGGTAAACAAAAAGTGTAGCATGCTTTTGAGCGCACATTACATTTGCATTTGCAAAGCAAATATGATTTAAGACAAACACTACGTCTGTTCCAATAACAAGTGCGTTGAATATGCAAGCAGCTCGACTTGAGACACTGCGATAACGAATATGTACACTCTATGAGACAACATTTTCTCATCACGTATACGCCGTGTGGTGTTTTTTGCACCATTTCTTTCTTAGGCAACCTAAAGCTATCGATCAGTCTGAATCCATTCTAGTACAGGTTCCCTCGTAACGCAACTTCAAGCAACTCGAATATTACTGGAAAGAACTACAAGTCTTTCAACTCTGCTTCTTCTCATCTGAAGTTTCAACAGTCTCTCTAGTGAGCCCGCACTGTGTCCTTTTCCCTTCAAAGTTAACAATCACTTAAACTTGTAGTCTACTTTAATTGATTGCCACAAGTTATTGTTCCTGCCTTACAAAATTGTAAGCTACTCCGCTGAATTATTTATTTCTTCAAATAGTGCATGTATTTCTTTATAAGCATGTACTTTGTCTCTCGAATTGTGCATAAAAGTATTCTCCAAATAGTAATAGTCCCCAATTTATAGCATATTCTATTAAGCTTTAGTATTGCTCGCAATTGAAGGCAACACAAGTGGTAACCAAAATGCAAATCTAGCAGTTCCCATTCATCACCAATGGAGACACTCACATATGCCCCCGTATCCCCCAATCTTGTGTTTTTAAAGGGCCTCCCCTGCTTCACCATACTCACCAAAGAATACATTGAACAGGAACAGAAGCTTCTTTTTGCGAAAATCGGAGATCGACATATTGTTGTTTTTTTAGTTTTCTGTTTTTATTGCACTCTTGTTTTTATTTCGTTTGCTGGTAGCTGTTGCTATCCTCGTTGCTATCCAGTTGTTGTTGCTGTTTGCGGTCGTGTAAAGCTGCACAAACGGAAATTGAAAACTGCACTGGAATGGCAAGAGCAAGAGCAAAAGAAATGCACATCACAATAAAATTGGCAAATGAGGCAATACACGTTGAAATTTAAAACTGGCACACTTATATCCTCAAACGTATATCCGTCGGGGCAGGCTGCCACAGTGCTGGGTTAGTGTAATCAAGCGATTGCAGCTGAAGGAAAGATGCGGGCTGGGAGAGGATTGCGTCGACAGTTATGGCTGCATCTAAATCTCTGTCTGTGCTCATTTAAGTGCTCGTTAAAAAAGGCGGCTTGGCGAACGGAAGGGAAGAGATTTGCATGCAAAACTGAGGGCATGGTGGCTTGGGAGGCTGGGGCTGACTGGCTTAGTTATGCCTGCTAATTCAGCCAAGGGAAATAAAATAAAACTGTCTAAAGATGGCAAGAGATACGCGTAATGCAATGCAAACTTATGCTAAGCTCATGCAGGCACACACTATATGTACGTATGTGTGAGCTAATGTGTGTGTGTGTGTGTGCATTGCGTGGCACGGCTCATTTAACCTTCAATCAGTGGGAGAGAAAGTTGAGCGGGTAGGCATGGCTGTGCGCCGCTAAATTAAAGAGGGAAGCACATAAAGCCATTGAATGCACGATTCAGGTTGACAGCCAGCGGCAACAGCCTCCGTTTAGGGCCTGGCTGGTCATTGCCAGCTTCAAAGGGCCTTCGTGTTTGTTAAGCTGCCATTAAGCAAGCTGCGTCGTCAAGAACTGTTTACTTTCGTTTACTTTGGCGGCGATGACGCGCCTCGCCTGCCATTATTAACCGGAACCCAAGCGGTACAAACTCACACACACACACTCACAGACACACACACACACACACAGAGAGTTGCATGTTAAAACCTGCTGTTTTATTTATCTCATCGCATAGTGTGACGAGCCGAGCATAATTTCCCAACAAGGAAATTGCAGCAAGGATGTCAAGTGGAACGTGAAATGCAAGCAACATGATGACGCGACGCTGTTGGCTTGTTGTGCGAGGAGCAAAGGAGGACACGAGCGGGAGCAGGAGCAGGAGCAGGAGCAGAGTCGCTCGAACTGAACACTAAACTGCAACGACTGTAAAATGGAAACATTACGGTTAAGGCGAGCGACAAGAAATTTTTGTTCATTCTAAAACAACAGCGCACAGACATAAAAAATGAGGAGAGACAAGGAGACTAAACAATACGAGAACTATACACTTTGCCTTGGAAATTGAATTAAAATACTGCTGCTTGAGCACAAATAAGAGATAAATTGGATGTGCACGTCAATTGCATTGACAGAAGTGGGCTCAAGCATTTTAATCATTTGAATTAAATGAGAGGGGCTGATGTAATTTTGTTTGTGATGCAGTTTGTGAGCCACAATGGACGCTCAATTCAAAAAGAAGGCTAAGCACCAACAAACAGAATATTTTCAGAATTTCCGCTTAAGTAAGCGCACATAAAAGGAATTGGTATTTAATGTATTTGATATTCTGTCATGGTTTGGACACGATTTCCTAATTAGTAGGGACATGGCTGCTGTTGTCTTTTTCCAATGTATATGTTGGAAAGACTGTATGTCCCAAATAAATTGTTGAGGAAGGGGGAAAGGTCGCTAAAGGAAAATAAAACGTGTTCGAAAATCGTTCTGTTGGTATTCGACAGATCGATTCAGACCTTGGCGACTCATTTGAATCGGCCGAGTATATTTTTTTAAAGTTGTGAACTTAAAACACGTCGCAGCCTGGATCGTGCCGAAAACCTTGACCCAATATTCATGGCAGTGACAAAACGAATTCAATCTGCCAACAAGGCATGAGCCAACAATACAATTTCCGGTATATTACACCTGAAGCTAAAATCAAATAAACCTAGCTTATGCAAAATTGAAACCCAAAAAGGTTGTATGAAAAGGCAATATGTTCTTTAAACTTCAATAATTTAAATGTCTGTTAAGAGATAAATCTCATTAAATGACTGTTGTTGCTGTTGAAATCTAATTTAGTCTTTTTTTAAATCTAAAGAATTCCATTTTCTATGTCTGTATATTGTGGCAATTGAGATTCTTGTCATCTCTTTAAAATCGAATGATTCCTTATTTAGAGAATCCAAGTGTAGAGTCCGTACAAAAGTAACAAAAGCTGGGAACAGTATTTCGCAATTTGCTCATCAGCCGCAGTAACAGTCCTTCAGGATTTTAGAAGCGCTATAAATGGAGTATCATTTGGGAAACTTGAATTGATGTTACAACTTAAGACTAAATTGAAACTTTTTGTGCTTTTTCTTGAAAACAAGACTATCAGCACTCTGCAGTTTTATTAACAAATGTTCACTCATAGGTGTGCCATTCCCCAAACTCAAATACCCTTTTTCCGCTCAAAAGCCTTGCATTTTCATGCTTTTGCATTTACTTTAATAAACTAACGGACACTTTAACCAACATTTAACCACATTTAAATGTCAAAATACTCTTAAGCCCACCTTTTTGTTTTGTAATGAAGGACACAAGAGAGGCAGGAATTTAAAAAACAAAGCCTAATGCAACATTTTGCAATGCAAAACAATTTACATACAACTTTGGGTTTGCCAAAAGATGGGTGAATAAATTAAAATTCAGGCAGACAAGCTATTGGAATTTTCCGAGCTTAAATTACTTTCGACCGATTATATGCTATTATAATTGATTATTTGTGCATTTAATGCTTTGAAGCTTATCATTTTCCGTCTCCATTCTTAATGTTCGTCGTTCAAGGACTACAGTAAAATAACATCGAACATAATTGCACAAATATTTGTCGCGTACAATTACAATTTGCATATAATTGCCATTTACATGCGTGTAGATGCCTTTTTAATTGTGTATTTTCAGCATTGAAGGCTGGCGCGTGATGCCCAAATGGAAACCAAAGTTAAAGCACGCGTCAATTCCGACATATAGTATATACTATATAGTATTCAAATTGCGCATACGACACCCTGTCCAGACACATTCAAACGCAATTTACTGTCACAGTTCATTAATTGCCCACCTGCGTGTGAATTATTTGTGGGCGGTGGGCATGGTTTGGAAAATACAAATTGAATTTCAGACGCAGCGAAAGCGAATCTGTTTTTCATTAACCATGTCAGCCAGGGTTGCCATCGCACGCGTTCTATAAGCCACACAAACAGCTGCAGTTTAAGCCTCGCATGTCGCCATTCGCCATTTGCCATGCGTTGAATGGATGCTTAAAGCCTTTTAATAGGCAACACGATGCAACATTAATAATTGAATATTCGCGTAAATTGAATTCTTACTCTGTGACAAATAAACATACGAACACACACACACACACTCTCACAAATATACACTCATACCCAGAGGGAGATAGAGAGAGAGAACATCACGCATACGACCCGCTTAGCGCGGCCGAAAATGCGCCGTAATTTTCCCATAGGCCTTGCCTTTTGTTGCTGCTTTATGATGTTATTGTTGTTGTTGCTGTTGCTGTGTGATTGCTTTGTGTTGCTGTTGTTGTTGTTGTTGCTGTCGCGTACATAAATTTCCAAGCATTTCGCTTTCATATCGCCCTTTGCGACGCTCGTCTATAATCGACATAAATTATTTTTAAGTTTCATTTTAATTACCAATACTCCAGCGCATTAAAAACACACGCTGCATGCCACAAAATGACGCACGCACACATGCATTGGGCGCAACATGGGGAATTGACACTCAATTTCTAATAAAGCAAACACTGCTATGCCTTCAATGTTTATAGACTATTCGCCATCAAAATTAATCATCTGCGTAATATATTAACCGCGAGGACATCAAATTTTAATTGCATTTCTCATGCGACGCGGGTGGCCCAGGAAGTGCCACAAAATCATAGCGAAAGAGGGTGGCTAGAGTGGCACCGAACTTTTATATTCCAATATAACTCAAAATTGATGACCCCACAAATTTATAGATGCTGGGTGAGACTTGAAGCCGTATATGAATTTCTGCGATGCATCGTAATTGAATCAGAGTTTTATAACTCTTGTAAAATGTAGAATTCTACGGTGCTTACATAGAGGCAACAACAATGCTCGGCTGTAGAAAGACGCGCAGCTGCTCTGTCTCTAATCATTCACAGAGACCTTGAGAGGCCTATTCTCTGCGCTGTTGTTACGCAGTTTGCAGTGACGTCCATCGACCACGGAAATCGTTTGGCCATCAATCAGCTGCACAACAGCCTGCAGACCGGAAGACCGAATAGCTGGCACCCTCTGGCCCTGCACTAAGCGCCTATCTGTCAATATCTGTCAATTTTTCAAATGCTTCACGCATTGCATTAGCAAGGATATACAAATGATTGTCAATAATTGTACATAACAGAACAGTTCTTAAGTAAGACACACGTTTGAAAAAGTCTTTTTCTCGGGAGGGGAACTATCCCAAAAGTGATTGCAATATAATTGAAGAGCGTTTTGAATCCATTCTCGAAAAGTCTAGTTTAGAAATAATCAGGAATTAGTTATCCTCATTTCTCGAAGGATTTGGACAGAACGTCCGCTTATATTTCACATTCATTGCAAGAAGAGACTACTTCTAATAATTGTGACTCTCAATTGATTTAATTTTCATAATTTTTAATTTTAAAATATAACTCAAAACTAATAAAGTATTGTGATTATTTACCTTCCCTAAAAATTTGTATTTTGAAAAAAAAAAATAGAAGAAATGGGCAAAAATCTAAGAGCAGAGCAGCATTAAAACTCTTAACAACTCAAGTTCAAGCTAATGCTAAGCATTTGATTTGCAATTCCTGCACTTAAATTGGCAATCGTAAATCACAAATTATTGCACACACTAATTGCTAAAATAATGAATTTCCTCCCCACACAGTCCACATAAATAGTTTCTTCGCCTTCTCATGCAGAGTCAGTTGATAGTTGTGAGAGTTATTGAGAAATGCAATTCTGTTCCATAACTACAAACTGTATCTGTAACAGACTTAGGTCTGCGTCTAATTAGGGCGGGTTTTAAAATAAGCACATCATCAGTCTAGGGCTGCAATTATTTCGCAGAGCAGCTAACTGTTTGATCTCCCTTGATTACGAGCGATCCCACGTACCACGCCAAGATGTAAGCACAGTCGGAAAAGTGTTGGCTGCCTTTACTCCAATGGCGCATTTGAGAACGGACCGACACTAATTACTTTTTCGCTTTTCGCTGCCGTAAATTTGTCGAGCCAATTTAAAATAATAGACAATGCAAGTATAGAGCATTGTCCAGTTTTTATCTTCTGAGCGCCACCACGAGGCGGAGACAATAAGCAAGCCGAGGGAGACGGGGGACGGTCCCCGTTGTTGCATGCGCTTGTGCGTTGGTCACAACTCGCAGTAATTTTGTGTAATTTGCATTAATTTACATTTAATTTGTGGCTCTGCAACTGCAACTGCAACAGCAACTGTGGACGCAGGCACAACAACAACAATAACAACAGCGAGAAGACACTGGCCAGGAACGCAGCCTAAGGCGCGACGGCTGTGCAAACAACAGAAGCTGACAGGACGAGGATCCTTGAGCGCGCTACTCTTTTCATGTCCCTTGCAAGCGGTTTTCTTTTTTTTATTTTCATTTTCGTTACGCGTATTTTCAGTTATTCAGTTTTTCTTATTTGTTGTTGTTGTTTTTTTTTTTGTTCTGTTCAAAAATTGAAAAGTTTATGGAAAACTTTGCAGTACTTGCCACATTTTCCGTGAATTCATTACAAAGGCGCAAATGCACAACAGCTGAGTTTTCTTGTACTTGTTACATTTTCGCTCGATGACGGACGATGAGGCCTGCAGGTGAGCCGCCCCTTCGCTGTCCACTCACCGCTCCCCGCTCCCCATTCCCCGTTCATTGCTCAGCAGTTACCACTCAGGAAGGCATACAAAGAACTGTGCCTTGCCGCCGCTCTTGCCACTTGTGCTCTTTACTTCTTGCTTGTTCTTTTGTCGGTTTTTGAAATGTTTTTCAAATTTGTATTTTTGTAACGGAAACTCTCAACACAAACACGCCTGCACTCACACAGACACACACAGACGCACACACAGACGCACACACAGACGCACACAGACACACCAACACACAGGCAACTGCTTCAATTTACCGTTGGCTGGTTGACTTTCCACTTAGACTGTGCTCGGTGTGCTCGGGAACGCGCTTCGCCGTTTTGTGATGCTCGCTCGTGCCGAGCCAGCGGCTTTTATAAGCACCAACCAAACGGCCAGGCAGCCAGCCAGCCAGCCAGCCATCGTCATCATCATCATCATCGTCATCGTCATAGCTGTTGTCGTCGTTGTCGTTACAGAACTTCGGAGGCAGCGGCGTTGGCGTCGTCGGCTCTGCCATCGCTTTTGGGCGCTCTTTGTCAACGCGAATTTTATCTTATCGCTGCGCCGCTGCCGCTGCCAACGTCGCTGCCACAGTCTCGCTGCAACTGCTGCCGTCGCTGCTGCTGCCTACTGCTGTGCACTTCGCGCGTGCTTCTCTTTGAATGTTTGTGTGTCTGTGTGTGTGTGTGTGTGTGTGTGTCTGTGTCTGTGTGCACAGCGTTGTATTTGTGCTCTGCTGGCCCGTTTGTTTTTCGGCCACCACGTGCACAACTCAGGCCAGCATGCGGCATTTTTGGTTTCAAGACTGAACACTTACAGAAAATGCAGGCTGAGGATCGAAAGCTAATACCAATTTCTATATTAGTTTCACTTCCATTGTTGTGTTGTGCATTTGGTTGGGATGGAACAAAAGCCTGAGTCTTCACTTAAAAGTACCTTTTTCCCATTTAGCTTCACCTGCTATCTGGTTGGAGTTGAACATTTTAAGCATTTATAACAAAGCTATACTTCTTCGTTTATTTTCTAATAACAGGGACTAAAAGTGATTATAATATGATATGTAGAAAAGTATATATTTGTTGAACATTTTAAGCATTTATAATAATGTTGTGCTCCTTGATTTATTTTCTAATAACAGCGACTAAAATTGATTATAATGTTATCGGAGTCAATAATGCAGCGAACTTTTATGAGTTGTGTATTTAACTATTCTTGGTAAGCAAATATGCAAATATTTAGGTTTGCTATGATGGGATTTTATTTTTAATTCAAGAACTTTTCCATACACGTTTAAGCACTTAAGCTTGTTAGCTTCTAGGAGACTCTGTCTTGCTGGATGTTGTAACATTACTAGCTTATTGAGAGCTTTATAGATTGAAATCTAAGAGTAGTAATAAACTATTTTTAACCTATTTTTTTTTTAATAAACTATAACCTGTGCAAACTTTCAAGGCCTTCAAGTCGATATTAATTTAATTCTTCATTTTGAGCGACTTCAGGGAATAACAAGGAAGTTTGTTTATTAAAGCTGCAATTTAATTGTACAACAATATCTTAAGAAAGTGGCATATTAATGGATCGTTTTATTTTCATAAACCAAAGAATATACACAAATTGTTGAATATCCGAATTTAAGCAAACTAAACTTCTCCAGAAGCAATCGGCCATTTTCTTAACTCATTCATCGTTACAACAATATTCGTGGCATACTTCACGGCTATTGCATATATAGTACATAGTAGAGCCTCTCCCAAAGAATGGCCGCCACTCCACTTTCTCGCAGTGCATGGCCAGCGACAAGACAACAAATCAAAATGTGCAAATGTTCTGGACAAATTTTTAGCGCAGCCTTGACACACACAGCCGCAGACAAGCACACATGGCCAAACACAGACACAGGCACACACATACAACAATACTTTAGTAAATTTACCACAGCTAGCAAAAGCAGAGGCAACAGCAGCAGGGGCGACGCGCCAGCAGCCCCATTTGGCAGCATAATTTTCGTGGCGCATTCAATCTTGTCGCCAACAAGCGGCCAAAAGACCGCCAACCAGCTGCAGCGGCAGCGGCAGCCAAGGCAAACGGAAAGCGAACAAAACATTTAAGCAATTTTATGCCTGTCTTTTATGCTTTTAATTATACAAGAAACACACATCGGCACGTCCATAAGTGCATACATTTGCCCAGTAATTGTCAACTTTTGGTGAAATGTCGCTGCCAATTTATCAAGTGGCCGGGACAGGAGCAAAAACAGGCGAAGAAACACGCTGCTTGCTGTCTTCTCAGCAGGCGGGCGGCAATTCAGTTGTCACGGCAATCGTTTCATTTCGTTTCGTTTCCAAAACGTTTCCAGTGCACCCAAGCTGCAGTGTCTGGCGCAACGACGCCTACTGCGCTGCCCGACCTGAGCAGCTGCTGCCTATTGCGGATGACCAGTTTACCATTGTTTCGTTTCGTTTCATTGCCGTCTAACACCAACACAGAGACAGGCGGCCGAATGGGCGACACACCACTGCACATACAGTGAAGGCTCCAATACAGGCAACTGACAACTGTCGACTGTTGCTGATTACTTTGTAAAGAAAAAATCGTTCGGCGAAAATGTGTAAATATCAGAAAAAATGATGGTTATCGAGTGACGTTTTAAAACTGTACAGACAACATTTCGTTACGATTAATTATCTGAACACAAAAACCCAAAAAAGATTGAAGTCGGAAACTTAATTAGGGAAACTTTTCGTTTAAAATCCTTTTGAATTGCTTGTTAAAACGTTTGTTGTATCCAAAAATGCAAAAATGCACCACTTAAAAAAAAATAAGTAATAAACTTATATAGGTTGTAAATACTACTATTAATTTTTTTTAAAAATGTCAAACCATTATAGACCTTATTAATAAATATTTTAATACAATACTTGCGACTGATATTTGCGTAATGTCGGAGTAGATGGGATCGGCACACAATAAACTGCTTTACTAACTTGGGAAAGCTAGTTTCAATCACTAACTAACTAACAGTTGTTTTTGGCCACTAAGCAACGGTTATACAGGGTGCGCCATCTTTTATGTCGGTATGTAAACATTGAATATCTTTGAAAATAAACAACCGATTTTCAAGTATGAGATATTTTTATTTAATTTGGTTCTGTACAATTTCTTGAACTGAGGTTTTCAACACTGGTCTACTCAGGTCAATCGGTTCACTAATGTTAAAGTTATTCAATATTTACATACCGACATAAAAGATGGCGCACCCTGTATTTCGAAAGCTTTTATAAGAAAACCCTATTTTATAATAATATTCAACGTTCATTGCAGAATTGTACAAATAATTTCAATAAATCTCCACTATAAATGCGATAGAAATGTATTTTTTAGGTGGAATCTGCTGCCAAGCTTGAAATGTTAAGCCATGCTTGTTGCTCTACGGATGCCTGCACTGTTGTACTCGTATGTGTGAGTGTACAATCGTTCATAAATGTTTATGCAGGTGGACACTGGAGCGTGTTGTAGTGTGCAAATGTTTAAATTTGTGGCCTTTTTACCTGTGTGGTTTTCAAGTGGCCAGCGGCTGCAAATTCATGCAAAAATGTGCTCTATCGCTCTGTACTCGTATGTGTGTGTGTGTGGGTGCGTGCGTATTTGCTTGTGTGTTGGCGTTGAAAAAGGAAACGGAAGCCGACATTGACACACTTTGAAATTAGCATGACCAGGCCGTAGCTAAATGTTGACTGCCTCCGAGCATCGCTTTTTTCCACACTTCTAGTTCTGGTTGCTGTTGAGGTTGCTGCTGCCCTTATCGCATGCTCAGCCAGCACATGTATGTACGTATATGTCTGTAGGACTAGCTGTCTACCTATTTTATGTTATGGGTGATGCACTGCTCCTCCACTGACTCGCAGCATAAATACGCGCGCCCACTAAACGCAACAGACAGCAGGCAACCGACTACGTTCGTGTCCTGGGCTCCTCGTTTAGGTTGTGGACCGCACACACGCATACGTGAGCTCGGCACGACAACGGCCCATTAAATGCAGGCCAGTCGGTCGCACACACACTTACACAACAGCCACCAGCCTGCCCCCCACGCCCACTGAGCCCAACACTGGCACCTTGATTAGACCAACATGAAATTAAGTAATTTCTGTGCATTGTTTAGGGTTTCTCTTTGGTTGCACCGACAACAACCAGAACAGCAACAATGGCCAAAAGAACAATGCAGGGCGTAGCCGAAGCTGCACAATAGAAACCTCCAAACAAACCAAATTTACCGAAGCTCTGCCAAGCTGAGATGCGCTGCCTTCTCTGTGCTCTTCAATTGTTGTATACAATTGCCCAAATATTTTGACGACAAGTTGAACAACAAAAGGATTCCACTTACTCGTGCATTGCTGTCGCGAAGTGGCATTTCCATCCCCCCCCCCATGCTCTCCTCAGTAATTTTTCATTTTCAGGTGCCTTGATGAGGCGACATATTCCTACAAACCAGGATACCTTATAAAGGTATATGCATAAAGAGCTGTATGTTAAGTATATCGATACGCTTTGAACTTTATTAGCCTCTAAATAATAATATAATTTTTAAGTTTTAAGATTCCAAAAACTGGACCCACTGAAGACAGCCGCATATATTTATAGCTGCATATTTTTATGATCCTCAAAATAAAATATTCAGTCTTGAATTCGAGCTGAGAACAATTTTTTGTCTGGCTTGTGATGCTAATAAGCTGATATTCGCGAGAAAACTATAACATTTTATTCAAAAACAGCATGAAGTAATTTTAATATTTCGAATTGCTTGTTTATTTCTTTTAACTTTAAAATTTATTCAAGACTAAACACATAAAAAGAAATTAAATACTTAGAAGGCTTATAAGCTCTACCAAAAGTCTACAACTCTCATTCATTTGGTTCCCTCGTCCCTCAGTCGAACAGGAATTTCCATTATAGTATATTCCAAACCTAATGTACTCCTTTATCCTGTACGGCACAGAAATAAAGCCCTCTCTTTAATGTAGTGCAGCTGCATTATCAAAATGGATTTATTTTTTTTAAATAAAATATGTGTTTTAGGGAACTGACAACATAAAGACAACCTGTGGCTAAAAACAATTATAAAATGGCGATAGTTAAGTCTGTAAACGGCAAGTGCTTGCTGTATTTCAAATTACACGTTTTAAATTATTGAACAATTATGCATGCGGGCTGTGTCCTATAAGTTCCGCTCATTTGGATTAACATCAGCATGCATAGAGCAGCGCCCCGAGCAGCATTTTTGGCGCCGTATCGCCGGCGCTCACAAAAGCGCAGTGTTTTCCCACTTGGTCCACTGCAA